TGCGAGAATGAGTTTTCCTGCTTCCTGACCTGTGCATCTCGCGGAACAACCTCGCTCATCGCATTTGAGGTCGCTGTTCGAAAATAAATTTTCTTGTTTAATTATTGATAATATAAACTATAAGGACATAAAAATAACCTAATATTATAATGTAAATAAATCCTTAGTGATGTTGTAAATATAAAAGTGAGATTGTTACTTTTCAATCACTTAGTGAATTGTCATGAAATTTGGTTATACAAGCACTATTTAGGATTGAAAATGGCATGGGCTACTGTTTATCCTAATAACGATGGCGAAGTCATGAATAAATATTATAGAACTATAAAGATACAAAAATAAAAAAATAAATATGAATGAATTAATAGTTACAATAATCAAGTCCCATGAATTTGAACTAATCTTGTAACATATATTAACAAAAACATTAACAAAAAATATACAATAAGATATTTAACCCGACAATGTTATTCAATTCTACAGTTAATAAATATTAATCTATACTGTATTGTTTTGAGTTTACAATACAACAAAGTTACTAGTATTATATCAAAATTTCTTCTTCTTTTGTTTTATAAATTGTGTAAGTGTATTTATTTTGTTAGAAATATTAATCTTAGTATAATAATACACGGTGAATAGGACACTTTCTTATTTTCCCAAGTTGTTGAGATAATCTAGTAATAGGCAATTATGGGACTCTCTCTCTCGCATGGTGAAAGTATGTTGCATAAGTGACCCTACCATATCTACCGCAAACCATAGAATTGACTTACTTTTCAGCATTGGTTCTGATTATAAGGAATTAACATGTATGCTCTGAGGTGAGGAAATTGAAGTGATTGCGAGAGCCTATTGAAGAAACTGGCGTTAAGCAATAATCACCGAAGTGTGACCGACGTCGAATTCAAATAAATGTAACGATTTTAATCGTACATCTACAAATTATATTTTTATGGCCATACAACTAACCTATTTAGTCTATCACCACACTAGAATGCTTATGGAGTGGGCAGGAAGAACTAAATACCTTTATTCACTTATATAACACGTCTTACGCATACTTACTTTAGATTAGTTTTTCCCTAACATTTGTATCTTTCTATTTTATATCATATAATATATTATTATATACTAGCTTTAACTCGCGACTTTGTTCGAGTGACAGAGATATGTTTACTGACCAGGATAAAAAGTAGCTTATATCCTTCTCTATCATATATGTATATAGTATGTATATATTAGATTTCATAATGATTAGTTAAGCTGTTAAAGCGCTATAAGGCGTTATAACTAATAAACAAACTTACTTTCACATTTATAACATTAATAAGAAATATATAGATATTGCATTTACCAAAGTATTGGTAATCCCTTCATCCGTTTTCTTATACAACTCAAACTGGCAAATAATTTGACGGCCATCTGATGGAAAGTGATACTTGTCACTTGTAGATTTGAAAAGTACTTTGAAAAATATACTGTGACGTCCCTGGTATCCCTCATTGTTGCCATTCCTGAGGGCTAATTTATTATACCTCCACATCATGTAATTTCACTGTTATATCCTATATTTCAAATGGAAGCACTATTTAGGTATACGTAATATTGCTTCAATAGTAAGCACGAAAACAGCAGCAGTAAAGGACAGGCTCACTCTCTACTAACTTAAATAATGTGCTAGGCGAAATGCAGACATGTGGAGTGTTAAGTTGACCGCAAAGGTAATACTAATCGACAAATACTTTTAGTTATATAACCCAGCATAGAATGGGCCATCCTTTCCTCTCCCGTGGGTGGTTAAAGAGGCGACTAAGGGAACTTAATGGTCGAGGGATTGGCATCAGCGTCCCTCTTAAAATATCACCAAAAGCCTAACTGTGGTCGCTAACTCGCCTGCCAAGCGTAACAACTACTGGCCTATGTTCAGTTAATATCTGATATAATAAATAAAAATGCTTTTATTAGCAGCGATTATAGTGTTTTTTTTTTTTTTTATTATTATTTTTTAACAATAAATAATCGATTTTTAATGAATTAGAAACAAGCAACAGAAATTAACTTACGACCACTTATCATGATTGTGTGTGAATAGTAAGTGACTAGACCACAGTGTTTTCATATAGATATTTGGCGGTCATATTCAGATATTATAACAATGAAAATTACTAAAAAAGGAAGCGTGGTTATTATTAAACGACACGTAAGGAGTGAGTCAATGGAACAGACAAGCCGAGACGGGTGCTTCTCGGAACCCTTTTGTTGTTGCATATCATGCTCATTGCCCAATAAGACAAATCCAACTATATTACACTGACGTTTATAACAGCTCTTCACTTAGTTGAGATTTCTAACGATTATACTAATATATTTTTTAATATCAAATATAAAATTTATTTACATTATGTATGATTTATATTTATGTCAAATGTAGATATGTGTAAATTTTTTTATAGATGGGTAATTAATAAAACTTTAGTTTTACAATATTTATTCAAGTTTCTCACTTTTAAATGCTTATAAATAGTTTACTTCTAAATAGTAAAATTATACAAATTTAATAAAATAGAATTATTTAGTAAAAGGTATTTTACATGTACAGTTAGCAGTCAATAGAATGCTATGAAAATGAAATCAAAATGAAGTAGATACTACGTACATAATTCATAGAACTTGCTTTTAATAAAAAAAAACAATTTTATCGTGTTCTGTTTCAAAATTAAAGTTATAGCTAAATAGCTATAATAAATAAAAAAAAAAATGAGCCTACAATTGATACGTTGCAATTATACGCTCTCTTTATTAGAGCGTTTTTCAACGCCCATGTAGAGGTTTGTGACAACGGCGCGTCGGCGGTCCCTTGGTCCCGTGGGTCGGCATCGGCAGGTAATGACACAAAACAACATACAAGTGAACGGCCACATAACTCACACACGGATCACAACAGAGATTCGAGGCATACCAAGAGCAAAGTAATAAATAGACCACTCAATAAAAGATGCCTCATAGCTGTTTGTTGAATCCGATGATGTGGACTTTTTGTTTCACTTATACATATAACTTTTTCGTTATAAGTACAAAGAGGCCGTATAGCAACGAGAAAGCTGAGGAATTGAAATCAAAACATATTTAAAAGATCGCCAACTTGAAATGGTAATAAGCCGACCACGAAACTCGGAATAGCAACAATCCATGCGAATATGTTATTGGTTGCTGATCCTGTAAACACACATAATATAGGATGACCTGTACTGGACCGAGTGACAACTTCAAATACATATGTTGCATGGAGTCAAAGAATGAGAGCTGCTTAAAACAATTCCTTGTGGTAGTTTGTTTGTGGATATAGAAATATATAAGTGGATATAGAAATATATAAGTGGATATAGAAATATATAGTATATAAGTGGATATAGAAAGGTTGACATAATGACAATGAAAATCTAAAACACCCCGTAATACGTATCACTGTTTCTGTTGTCAGTCTGCGGTACGTAAAATATCTTTAAATAGCAATCATATAATTTTTGGTTTATCGACCAAACGTTTAAAAATCTTTACATCGTTAAAAAATTCAAATCGCAGAAGCGTATAGGTATGTTATACCGGAAATACATTTTACCATGATTTTAGAAGTTGTTGTGTCTGTTATAAATAAAATAATAACTATGTCTCTGGTTTATATGTAGTGAGTCACAGTGCATATATACGAGTACTATACCAAAGAGACATGAAGTTAGCTGTGCAAGAGATTTTATAAATATTTCGTTAGTAGTGATAGCTTAAACAGTACAGAAAGTCGTAACATAGCGTAACGATATTTTTGTATTTCACTGCTAGACCATCGTGAGTCAATGGAATACTAAAAATTATAATGCGTAGAAATCGGTTTATTAAATCCCTAGCTAAGATATCACTGCTTATTGGCCTTGGTATCAGTAAAATGATCTAAATCGAACACTACATTAGTTACCAGAATTTTGTTAATAAGTTCTCACAAATAAGCAATGCTCTACATCAAATGGGTCGGCAGCACGCATATGAACTATATTGTTTCATATATTGAAGATGTATTGTTAGATACATTGAAGGTGTCACAGATTTTTCTGGAATGGAATATTGGATGGATGTTCCTAGCTATTGGAGTTTTTTTAATTACGTCTTCACCATCAAGATCAAGTACTCGTCCATCGTAACTATCTGATTCTACATTTACATCGACATGGAATGTATTCTTTATTATAATGAGCATTTAGTAGTATCTAGTAATCTCTTGCTAGCATTTTTTTTTTGTTTAAATCAATCAGTCTCATCTTCTATGTTACAAATGCTACAGTAAAATCCGATCATGCTGTGTCGCGCTCATTGAAATACTTGTATTAGTATTTATATGTTCCAATATGGCAATTCTTTATCGATTAGTATAACACCTTTGCATTTAGATAGAAGTCGTTGATACGAACCATCTGTCAGGCTAAAACGAAGGTAATTTGTACAAATAAAGCTTCTTGCATTAATTTTTAGAACATCTTTAGAATATATTTAACTGCAAAACCTTTGTACTCATAGGTATTTACACGTATTAATAATTATATTTTTGCATAATAGCACGCTTCAGTGAATGATTAGATGCGTATGCCGACCTTTGCATAGTCTAGATGGTTGCCTAAGATATGACATCACTTCATCAGCTCGGTAATCAATCAGTTACACATATTTAATGCTAATATATATAAGACTGAGTCAATGATGTATTAAACCCATACAATACTCTATAATACAATATTCTTAAACAATTTAAGATTTTTTCCCATAAAAACAGCTAATTTAACGATGAAAAAATTTATTTCAGGCCATCACAAAAATAAACTTTATGTATATATTTCAAGTAGGTGTGATTGCAATGTAACAAAATACTTAAAAAAAATAAGTAATTAAAATTATAAATCTATTCGTTAAATTAAAACCTCAACGCACTAAACCTTACTTTTATTACTTACATTGCTTTTTATTACAAATTATACTCAGATCACCGTACAAGATGTGTTTAACTGCTATAAGTTATGTAAGATGTCTACATTCTCAATAACTATTTGCCATTACGTTCTGATCTAAATACATTATTAAACTCAGTAAAGCATAAATTCGTACTAGGTGTAATGCTCACTTAATCAAAATTCACGATAACCTATTCTATCTTCAGTTCATTTCCTTATCTTACTTATATATAATACAATTGTAACTTGATGACGTCTGTACATGGGAAATATTTAAGAAAAATTTATATAAGGAGTCTATATTAATGAAGAGTCAAGGTTGACTGGAAAAAATCCCTTTACGAGATAAGTCCGTCTGTGTCCATTTTTGTTATAACCTAATATCTCAATTTTAAGTGATTGTATAAAAGCGTACAAATAAATAAAAAATAAGAGTAATATTAATAATATTCAGAAGTTTTATCTGTCTGTCTTTTTGTATATTTGTTAAGGTAGAACTTAAACTCTGGTAGGTATATAAGTTATATTTATACACCATCTAGATGTGACCATTTCTACTGGTTTTCTTTTGAAATTTATGCGTATGCAGTAGTGGGCAAAAAGCTTGTTTTCTCTAAAAAAAAGTATATATACAATACACTTATATTTTTTAACGATATTTCGAATAGAAAGTGAAAATGCTGATAGCCCACCTGATGGAAAGTTACTACTGTAGTTAATCGGTTAATTTACTTAATATCTATAGGGTATGACCCCACAATAACTAATTCCTAAGAACTTGTTATGCTTATTATTATTGCTTGAGAAGTGTTATGCTTCCATATTTTGTAATTTTACTGCATCTCCCTACTTTACAAAGCGAATCACAGCCATACAAGCTCATTTACTTGACAGCAGAAACACGAGTGGGACAGAGGTATTATTGTACCTCCCAATCTCTCTCTGGTTTGAGGGAAAAAGATTGTTAGTAATAAGGTCTAATAGCCTCAATGCTAGCAATATACCCTAGCAAGTCGACCGCTACGTTGTTCCTTCTGAAAAACGACGTGGTTATTACTGTTTTCATCTTTACCTTTCATCTCTTACTTGTGGCGCTCAGCATATACCAAGAGCGCAGGTGGGGTTACTATTTCATCTTTATTATTTCAGCCGTCCTTTGCTGAACATAAGCTTTCCTCCTAAGAGGAGTTTTGCCAGTAGTTACCACGCACGTTAGGCTTTTAAAGATGTTTTAAGAGGGACGCTACTGCCCATCCCTCACCCACCCTTAGTCGCGTGGCATTACATCTTTACCCATTAAAGTAAGTCTCCTTTGGTATATTCGAAGTAATTTCGATTTTGAACGTCTCAGTAGCCAATACTATAATATCATTCATCTCTAATTAAAATCAACAATTATATTGTCAACGACAAAATGTTTTACATAGAAACATCTAATTAGTCAGCTTGGATAAGAAAAAAGATTTGAATAAATGTGTCTAATAAAAACCGAAAAACAATTAGCTGTATGCTACGTGGGAGGAGCGGTCGTACAATTCTTAATAAGAAGGCAATTACCCACATTAAAACAACCAATACTGAGTGGGTTTCAGGGTCTTTGTCCTTGTTTGGCAAAATTGTCTCTCATTCACATAGATTACCTATTACATAGTTTGCTGATATATAGCTATAGGCCCTGTTATATTAATGGAAAATTAAAGATTTAAATTAAATTAATTGCCACTATATATTGAAGTACCTACCGCGAACGTGACTCACTGTTCATCTCATAAGTTGACTAGTAGAGAATGCAGAAAGAGAGAGAACATTAAGACCGCTTTTTGTACCATATTTTATTTTAATGATAATAAATAACTTTTATTTAAATAAAAATAAATATACAAAACATACAATGTTACTGACTTTGGTAAGCTACTGTTCTCTGCCATCTGAAGGGCTAAAACCCAAAACGATAATGTATGTTGGCCGATCGAATATATATATTTATATCCTCACCAGATCATTTATAACAGGAGCTCCCAAATATACATAATCATGCGCCTTATAAATAGTTACAAATTTTACATTTGTATTACATAGATATTAAACTGCCAGCCATGGGATGGATACTAATTTAAATTTTTTATTATATTTATTTTTCATTTAAAGTATTCAAGTACCTAATAAAAATATGGTATGTACGTGACTTAATGAAATTCTAAATAATAACCTCAAATACAAATCTGTCTTTTGAGGACAAAAATTGCTACCTACACAAGTGAGATAGCGGATACCATCCGCCCACTCGTCTACATGTGTCCAACATATATCTGCAAAAAAACCTGCACCTCCATTTAAAGTAATAAGACAATGTATTTCATTAAGTTAGCTACCTTCTCCCACGCAGTAGCACTTTGATCGCGTTCTGTTTTCTGTATTTTAACCAAAAGTATTGCATGGAACAGTGCTCGCATAGAAAGGTGTGAAGCATTTGATTTACCACACAAAAACCTTTGAACTACTAAAATAAGTCCATAATACTACATATTTTATAAATTTATAACATTATGCTACAATTATTGTTCCCTTCCTTTCTTGTGGGTGTTCTATGAGGCCTCTAGGGGAACTTAATGGCCGAGTGGGCAGTGGAGATGGGCAGCAATGTCTTAAAATACCACCAAACCCGTGGCAATTATTAGCGAAATCCTTCAATAGGCGGAGGCCTATGTTCAGCACTGAACAGTAACGGCTGATATTGTGGTGATATGATTATGGTTCAGAAGTTTATTGATGGTAAACACCATAAATATACAATTTTCTCAAAATGCAATCTATAATGTTGTTTTTGGTCAATTGTCTGAAACAAGACTTCAAGTACTTTTTAAGGTTAAATTTCAAAGTATCAGAAAATCTTATTCCTTAGAAGACTGGCATAAAATTGCAGTAAAGTTTTTGAAACAACCTTTAATTTTACAATAATATGACTCATTCTCATTAAGTTCTCGATACATATGTAGATAACGGAATCAATTGACTCTGATAATATCACTCATCGTAGACAAACCAGCTATGATATTATTGCCAACGGCAATGGTAGTATTTTATCACTATTCATCAGGTTCATCAGAAATATTCAAATACAATGTATTAAAATAATAATAAATAATAATAATAAACACACTAAGAAGGAGTTCAATACACCTGCGGATAAATTCATTTCCTATTAACGAGTCTATCGGTTGAGCGCCATTAGTCATCTATGTTGATTTTGACCGTCTAAAACAGATGCCGGTAAATATTTTACCATAAATTAACTGGAATAAAATAGTATTAACAGATTACTAATAAGGTGTATATTTTGAGGAAATTGTTTATTTAGTTTGTCATCATTGCATTAAGAAAGGAAAGTACCTAAATAATGTTTTTTCAAAAAGATTTTTATTAATGTAAACAGAAAATATAAAAGAAATGAGAACTGACTCTAGAAGTTGCTTAAAAATAAACAGAAACCACAGAAATTATCTTCACTTCTTTTTTCCTTCCTATTTTAGAAGAAGACCTACTTCTATAGTTTATTCGGGCCTATAAACTCCATATTAGACCACATCATCACTTTCCATCAAATAAAATCGTAAAGAATCGCGGGACCCTTCAACAGTAAAAATAAATGTTAATGTAAGTGTACTCGTACAATGGAAGAAAATTATTATTTCAATCGAAGTCGGAGTCGAAGTTCTAGAAGTCGGAGGTTCTCAATACAGTTGTATTTTTTCATGCTACCTCATAATTCCATCAGTTACAAATAGATTTTTTAATTCGTCTTTTCTAATTGATCCCATAGAAATTTTATCACAATCAGTTTAGTAGTTTAGTTTAGTAGTTTAGTTTTAGTTATTTAAATCAAAATGACTAGTTTTGTTACAATTGAAGTAGATTTTTTTATGGGACTTATTATGCTTTTGTATATATTATCATTTCAGAATTAGTTTTACACTAAATAAAATTAAGATATGGTATAAAAATTATAATTGTTCTAAAATTTACTGGCTTAAGAGGTCATTCTTGCATGTGCCGAACTTGGATAAATTATGGTCCACCTGTTTTTCTATTTCCATTCAAATTTGTTTAGCCATTATACAGATTACATGACTGAGAAACAAACGAGGAAACGTCTTCTAAACTTTCACATTTATGATCTCATAATATTTTTAATTGGATTTTAATTTGGTGCGTGAACCCGCGATAATTTACGGTAACCTGTTTATAACTATTTATTAAACAAGTTTCTGTTTGTTTGTAGATTGTAATGTACTTAAATACCTATATAAAAACACGATGAAGTCAGAGTATTGATAACATTCTTTAACCTGTAGAGTGCAATATATTAATATACATTCTGTCGTAGTAGTTGTTTATCATCGGACATAGTTTGACACTTTATATACAGAGACATTAAATAACTGTTAATGTAAGTATTATTTCTTTATATCTATTCTTATTTCACATTTTTTCAATAATTTTACTATTCTTACTTCATATTTTTTATTATTTTTTCATTAATAAAAATATTTCAATTGTGTCAAAATACACATTCACGTTAAAAAAGTATACTTACTAAATTTCATTTTGCTTGCTTTCACTGTTATTTTCAACCAACTTTCAAAATAATGAGGTAATTAATTCTGAACCGATTTTATAGCGTTATATTTATGGAAACGAGATAATTACTGTACACCTTTCCCCCAATTTTTTGTTTAATTTTCCTTTAATTTTACAAAAATATCTATCTATAATATTATATTAATGAACGCTTTTGTCATGTGTACTATTATTATTATTATTGTTTGTTTGTTACTCTAAACTGTAACAGCTGAACGGATTTGAATAAAATTTAGACGCAGATTGATCATATCATAAATTAGCTTTACAATTAAGAAAATATGCGTTCTTAATTTTTTTTTTACTATATACTAGTTTTTGATCGCGATTTTTTTCCTATGCATGGTATACGTTAAAAGTAACAAACAAATTCAATTTCACATTTATTATATTAGCAAAAATAATTACACACGAAAATAATACAGATTTTTATTTTCTATTTATTTTATTTATCACACTTATATGGTAAACATGCCTATACATAACACAGATATAACATAAAAACAATTGCTTAATTAGATTCGAAAATATTTTTTGAGTGTTAACAGTATATACGTAACTAGTAATATATAATTCTTATTACAGATGAATTTATTCTTCTATATCGTTTTACTCACTTTGGATCAAACACTGGGTAATAGAAACTGTGAAAATGCCTCCTTCAAGAACTCTGAGATAGAAACACTTGCTATAAATTTTACCATGCCTTATCAATTGGGAGTCGATCCTAATACCAACACATTGTTCTTCAGTTATTCATTGCAAAACTCAGAAGAATCTTTTAAAATCGTGTACCTTGATCTCAACAATCAGAAACGCGGAGAAGTTACAGGAATTTCAGGAGGTTTTGCCCAAACAGTAGATGTTAAAAACCATGTTGTTTACTTGGGAGGTAGCGACGGAATATATCAATTCAACTATGAGACAAAATCAGCAAATCGCTTAAATATCACAAAAAATAGTATCTGGCAAATGTTCTTCAAAGATTATCTTTATTATACAATATCACTAAAGGAAGAAGCGTATGTATATAAAGATGGAGTCGCAGCAAAAGTTAAGCAGTTGGAGAATACTAGAGCTTCATTAATAGCCGTAGACAATAATCACAATATTTATTTCGCTAATTCTTCAGGTCTTTATGTTAGTGATAATGATAATTCAATTAAGCATATTGGAGACTATATCATTAACGGATTTACTTCTGATATAAATGGTAATATATTTTTTTCCACACTAGACAAAATTTATTCCATAATATCAGGAACTTCTGTAAAGCAGATCATTGAATTAAATGATATTCATGGATTGGCTATTGACGCGAAGGGAAATTATATATACTCAACATATAATACTGTGAAACGATTAAAACTTGATGTAACAAATTGTTCTTGATTATTTGAAAAATTGTCTTTGAAAATGATTTATTGCTATCAGCATAAAACTGCGTATTTTTAATTGTTTCTTTTTTTTTAAGACCTACTCATTATTGATTAAATTGATAAATTTGTTGTCTACTACCTTTTAGCAAAATTTTACCAGAGGGAGACTTTGTACAAAAGTCGTTTGCTTGGGCACCTCTGTTCCATTCATGTTTCTACCGTGAAGCAGTTGTGTTTGCATGGCTGTGTTTCGGTTTGAAGGATGGGGCATGTCAGTGAATTTACAGGGTATAGAGAAATAACACCTGAGTCCTCAGGAACGGCGACACATGGGGGTATCATGGTCGAAACAGTATACTCTGTTATGTCCATGGTACTGCTCATGTTTATAGGCAACGGTTACCACTACCATCAGATAGGCCGTCAGCTTGTTTGCCATTCTAAGTTGTATAAAGAAAAAAGAATTTGCGGTTTGTATGTTTTTACTACTGTTCTTTACCGATAGGCAAAACACGGATGACAGATTACATTACATTGATTTTGTATATACATGTTTTTTTTAATGGGTGATAATGGAATGGTAAACCCATGTGCGCTATCGGTATACACTGGCGGGGCACCAGTGATGTATGATAAATGAGGAAGAAGCAGGTCAACAAGAATTGTTCAGGATGGTTTTAAGGGGGAATCACGTGCAGGTCGACCTAATAGGGCATATTGCTAGCAATGAGGCTGTCAAACTCTATTGCTAACGATCCTTTTCCCTCCTGTATATACATATTAGGTAAAGGAAAGTATGGAAAAGCGGAATCAACGACACGATTAAAAAATAGAAAACATGTGGTAGACTTGCGAAGTTCTATATGTATAGTTGTTACACTCTATGCAATATAGGAAGTCAATAATAGTCCACTAGAGAGAATAATTTATGTTGTATGAATTGTAATGAGTTTTCTAAGAAATGTTTATGTCCTGTTGTTGGATTCGGGTAACTCCCGTAAGAGGAGGTACCCTGTAACTACTACGCAGGTTTTGACCTGCGTAGTAGTTACAGGGTACAGTAGTAGTTAGCATACTACATGAGTTCATTTAGGGGTTTCCTTCTCTTGTACTGATAATTCTTTGTGCTCCTTCTTGCCACTTCACCGTTTTTGTATCAATATAAGTACCTTTTTTTAAAACCGTAAGTACCAGTAGTACTCTTCTAACGATGTTATAAAACATTAATTCGATGAGAGAATTGAATATTATTGCGCAATTTATTTATGCATACATATAAACGTTAGATAACGTTAGGTATGTAATATATGTGAAAGTATAGATGTAGAATGGTCACTTCTTTGCATCATATCGGTATATAGAACTAAGAGAGTGAAACACATTCGTATACCAATATCAGATAATACGAAAATTATGAACTACAGTAAATATCGAATAGAATTCTTCGTGATAATTCATCTTCTCTGTGGCAGTTGCAGTTTAATATAGGTAAGAAGTAAGTATTATTTAATAGAACATTAATACAATTAATATTATATTCAATAGAAACAAAATAGTTTTGAGTTTGTATAAACGTATTATTTTTTTGCTATCACCTAGTGTTTTTATATTTACTCATTATTGATATTCAATCTATTTTTATTTATTAATAGCCACGTATATATTAAATGCCACCCTAGTCCTAAACAAAATATAGTTTCTATTATAGGTTCTAGACAACTGGTAGATAGAGAAATACATTTTTTGGCCGATTTCAAAAAAGGCGGTTCAAAAAATTCTCAATTCAGTGGTATTTTTTGTATACGTTTGTTACTTTTTACCTCTGTCAGTTATAAACTGATTTGGATTTTTTTTATCTGAAAACTATTAGATTAGTTCTATAGAAATTTATCAAAATTGGTTAAGCAGTTTAATTTTGAAATTAGTATGACTTATTTTTTAATTATCAACAGAATTTATTTTACCATTGTCGAAGTCGGTTCTTTTTTATAGAATATAATACACTCTTAAATTAATATAAATGCATACATAATATCTAATCTATAACCTTTACTCTTATACAGTATTTTTCTTCTTTTAATACCAACATACTGATATACGAAACTATTATTAATTTAAGATTATGCCAAGTTCATATTGAAAGTGGTGGTTCAAAAGTTATCTAACAAATGTTTCTTTACGCTGACTACCTTGATACAAATAAAGGTACAATAGCTGAGCATAAATAGGAAATCGCCGCTCCACTGGCTCGAATAATTCACCAAGAACCTTAGCTGCACATGAAAATCGTAATTTTGTATGCAAATTCAACATACTGTTGGAATATAAATGGGTTTAACCTTTTATTTGTGCAAACAATGCGTAAATAGACGTGTGCGTAATTCGTGCTATTTAAAACCTCTGTGTGACACAAATGTTGCGCGTAATTATAACAAAAAAATATATTAAAAATAAAAAACTGATGAATATCTATTAGAGTAACTGAGACATTGTTAACGATTATCATTGTGGTGAATGCATTTGTAAACTTGCCCATGTTTCGGCGAGCATATTGGTATCTATATAATGAAACACAAGGGACTTTACCGCATTCTCTCGAATAATGATGATTGATTATATAATATTACATAGAATACTGTAAAAAGTTTACATTAGTCATATACTCGTCAGAGGTTTAATATTTGCCGTTTTTCATCAAATAAAACATATTTGAAATTGAATTTCGTTTTTAGCGGTATAACAGTTTTACTCACTAATGGTTACCAGTTCGATCCCTGACTGTACAAATAACAGTGCTCATAACATTTATACAGTGAATGTATTTGCAAAAGAATAACATAACTATATCAAGCGATTTGAATAATTTCTATTCTAATGGATTCTAATCCATAGTGCAAGTTCTGCTTGATTTGTTTATTTGTTTAAAATTATCTGTAATTTATCTATCTGTCGTCACACTAGGTTCCTTAACAACAAGCATCTCTTGACTTTATTCACCTTCTTATCTAGCCGCATATATGACTTCCCTAGCTACTAAACAGTATGTTAATAAGCAAAGGAATAAAAACCTAGTAAGCAGGTGAATTGTTTTAACGACTTTTTTTAAATAGACTTATTGTTATTATTTTATTATTTCAGCTGTTAATTGTCCATTGCTGAACATAAGCCTTCCCTATAAGTTTTCCAGTAGTTGCCATGCTTGGCAGGCAGATTGACAACAGCAGTTAGGCTTTTACAAATATTTTAATAGGAACACTGCTGCCCAGCCCTCCACCATAAGCTGCCTTATTCGCCTCTTACGACACCCATGGGAAAGTAAGGGATGGCCCATTCTATGCCGTTACCGACACTGCGAATAGACTATTACTAACTGTAAACTGTAGCTTTGCTCACGTGAATCAGAATATAAAGTATTATAACATATGTACGTGTATATGTTAAATAGGAATATAGTCTACCTTGTATCAAGTTTGAATTAAATCTATTCGTCATCCATTTAAGCGTGTTTGAGTAACAAACATCCAAATATATTTACAAACTTTCACATATTTATTATTAGTAGAATTTACTACACTACATCTTTTCAAAGAAGAGATCTGCCAGTAAAACTAAATATTTTCTTTATAAAAATAAACGATAAAAGATTTTAGGTATTCAAGCTCAGTAGCTGAATATTCTGTGTTATTTTTTTTAATAGGTGTTATATATTAAGTAGGTAGTATAGTTATGTAGGTTAATTAGCCCTTTGTGATGAATTTCACAAGAATAAACTACAACGGTTTCCAGAGGGAACTGTGTGGAGGTCGTGGAAGAGTAATATTTTTTTTTATAATTGTTCAACCCATATTTCTTTAATAAAACTATTGAGTTACTGTTTATGGAAAATGTTTATGGAAACAACTTTAAAACGGAGCTAATCATTTTAATTTCATAGTGAGTAATATCGTTTATATACGGATATATTACGTCAATGAAGTATGATCAAAATATAAAATTACAATTGCTTATGTAATGTAATTAATACCTAAGTATGCGGAAGATTCAACGACATATTATAATGTAGTAGTTTACATAGGTTATTATAAATATTCAAGTCACATGCCGCGACTGCGAACCTTGTGATTGTGTGACAATAATTGCTTAGGTGATTAGTACGATTTCAACCGGTCGTACAATTATTTTGTTTTTATGGACATACAGCGATATTGTTGTGTTTGGAATATTACAATGCAAGTTTGTACATGTTACTATGATCACTAACAATTTAATGGCAATGTTTAATACTTAATATGTAACTATTGACCGTAGGTAAATAACTGAATGTGCATAGATATTGTAACTTTTTGTATACCATGGTTTTGCCTGGATAAATTTGGATGGAAATTCTGTGTACCAAATTTAATTCAAATCCGTTCAGCCGACTAAACGTGATGAGTTACAAATACCTAAACATGTGTAAAAATTATATATATATATATATATATATATATATATATATATATATATATATATATATATATATATATATATATATATATATATTTAACTATATATATATATATAATATAAAACAATTATATTTTCTTCTGTACACAGTAAACAAATACGAACATAATCATCTCTAAATTCATTGAACATCATTATTTATGTATTTTTAAAGGATAATTTATTGAATCGAGTATAAATTTTAGCTATTTAGAGAAACATAAAATAAAGCTGTATTACTAGTTAATTAATTTATGATAAATGTAGTTGTATAAATTATCACAATTTATAATGTAGTCGCATAATGTTAGTATAACAATTCATCATGTTTTCTGTCGGTAAATGCAAATTACGATACATAGTTAGTTTTATTTTGACATCTGTTTACAAACATAGGAAAGTACAGTAAAATATGCAAAACTAACTAAAATACTATAATAACTGTCAATAAAATGTTAACCAAGTCGCAATAACGATAGTGCTAACAAGTTGTTTTGACATCTGATATGCCACTATCAGGCACAAGTTACAGACGTCTTGCTATATTGGTATAGGGGTTAATGTATTATTAATTAAAGTAGTATTATTTAAAGTCTCTGATATCATATTACTACATTACAATTTAAAAAAAAGAGAATTTTTTTAATTATTTACTTATTTCCAGTTTTTTTTTTTTAATTAATCAGGTCACATTTACTTACTTTTTATATGGGGAGATGCTTGATTGGTTTTAAACGCAAAAATTACAATATAGTAAAACTCACAATAGTTTTGTTAAATAGCATTAGATAGCATTTAAAAAAATTTAATGCTGTAATGTAAGTATTAAAATGATCGGATTTCATCTATCTTGGAGCTACGACACATCACACAAAGAATCATTTAAGACAACTATCAAACGACAAAACTTATAACTTATATATGTTAAACTTTTAATATATATGAACTAAATCCATCAGCCTTATCTAACCTCATGAGCGTTTATTTCGTCACAAGTATCGAGTAACTATGTAAAAACATCCAAATAAATTATCCTTATTTGTTAAAAACTCCAGCGTTTTTGTGATTTTATGTAAATGATAAAGTGTTCTCTTATAACTTGGTCCACACTTTCAGTCGTTCGTAGCGGTTAGAAGTCGGCCATCAAATCATACTACAGCGATCCACCGTCCTTCACGGTTCAGTAGCTAGCTGCCTAAGTTATTATACTCACTTTGAATACTGAAATCGCTACTTATAATTTAAATATTTCAAAATTGATTGATGTATCAAATACTATTTGTAAAAAGACTTTGAAATGAATGCGAATAATTTTGATGAAATAGTTTTAAGCTAGGTACTTCGTTTTATAAGTACCATTTTTTAATTATATATCTTTAATATAAATTCAAGATTAAGCATGTTATTTATGTATATAATGTATATAGATATATTATAAAAGAAGAAAACTGATCAATCCACAAAGACTAAAGTTTTAAAATAGGAAGTAAAAGTGAAATTGTAAAGGAGTCTGTAATTGAATATAGAAATATAAATTTAGGTTGAAAATATTATTTTTTTAAATAAAAAAATAGGAATACGAGTATACATTCATTGATTAGTATTAGTTTTTAACTATTCACTAGACTTTATTTTAAGAAATTGAACTACATACTATCCAATAACAATTATCTACAAAAAAACAATTCAGAAAAAAAAGAGAAAAAGAAAAAAAAAATAATAATATAAAAGTAATTTTAAGAATCTGGATTTATGTAACTTAAGATTTTGCACCAAAAAATAGCGACTCACGGAAAAAATGATATAAATTTATTATGGAAATAAACACTATCAATTGAAAAAGAAATATAAGTAGAGAATTAGCAAAGGTATTGTGTAAATTACTCACAAAAAATACAACCGACTTTAGAACCAAATTTCCATCGGCACTTGATAAACTGAAGACAAGCTGCATTTTAAAACTCATAAAGTTTACTTAGTTTTAAGTACATATTACATATAAAATGGGTCTACATTAGTTGTCCACAATCCAGGAAGCGAAAGGTCTTTGGCTCCCATCGGAATGTGCGTCGCGTGGGTGTCGCTCCCATGAGCGCACGGCTTTCTATTGATTTAATGAACACTATCTTATCTTGCCCAATAACCTTATTACCGAGACGTACTCAGTCTACGCGGTTCGGTTTAATTTACTCAATTGGTAACTAAAAGAAATTGTCCTGATGAAAATGCATCGCACCAATCGAAGTATTAGTAATAACTATTGTACTTACCTATGTAACTACTTTGTTAAACACTGTACATGGTAAAGCCGATAGAAAAACTACAGATATACAGTAATAGGATTTTTTTGTAATGGGTGACAATGGAATGGTAACTCCGCCTGTGCTATCGAGATACGCTGGCGGGCACCAGTGAGGGTTGAGAGGTGAGGATGAAAAGGCAGGTCAGTTAGCCCATCGTGACGAATTCCACTAGAATTAATCACGACGGTTTCCAGGGGAAACCGCATGGAGATCGACCTGGTAAGGTGTCTTGCTAGCAACAAGTCAATTAGACACCATTACCAGCAATTCCTTTCCCCCCTACAATAATAGGATTCCTCACTGCTGGGCATTGCAAGACAATATTTATTTTTTAAATAGGTCTAAATAAACGGATAGGGATAGGATAGTCAGGTTAGATTGATCCATCGTGGCATGGCGTTAACTACGATGTTTTATATGAGATGCAATGTTGAATAGTTTGGGTCCATTGTGTATACACTAAATTTTGAAACTTTTTGAAACTCACAATCGTACCTTCGTTTCAGCGATACTCTCCAACTATCTATCCTCTCTTACCGTACTTGTTTCGCTTCAAATTATTTTCTCCTACATTCTACATGGCTCTGGAACGCGCTTCCTGATACCATTAAGAGACTACCGACTAAACCATTTAAAAAAACATTCATGCTCACTTTTTTACTTTATCCGAGCAGTAAGTTATATTATTCTCAATTTTGTGTATAATATAATATATTTTATATATGTGTAAGTATATTTGTTACTTATATATATTTATTTGTTTATATATGTAATTTTGGTATGTATGTATATCAATAATTACTAGTACCGCATTCAAGTATTCTGACACTTTCCTATGGTTGAATTGGAGAGAATGCTTTTAACATTAAGTCCGCCATGTACGCACAGACACACACACACACATATATATATATATATATATATATATATATATATATATATATATATATATATATATATATATATATATATACTAATGAATAAAAAAATAAATTGCTAATAAAGTAAAAGAGAAATATGATCAAGTTATAGACGTTCGACTTTAGTAATTTCGTTATCGATCCCTATAAATAAATACATTGTAAAGTTGTTATGATCAGAAGCTAATATATTGCCATTATAAATACATTATGAAATTGTTTTATTACAATATAATAAATAACAATTGCCCTATGCACTTGACCGACCCAGACTTTGATTATTTTAATAGACTTCAAATAAGGTTTTGATACGTTTCTAAGTTTCCACTTACGAATAAGTAGTGAAACAACTTCTCTGCTGAGGCTTTTCATTAAAATTGCAGCATTAATGGCAACGCATGGGGGTATCATAGGCGAAACAGTATACTCTGTTATGTCCATGGTACTGCTCATGTCTGTAGGCGACGGTTACCACTTTCCATCAGGTGGGCCGTCAACTAGTTTGTCATTCTAAGTTGTATAAAAAAATATGTTCTTGTAGAAAAGCATATTAAGGTTTTTCCAGATGGCAAACCGTATTGCAGGCGTCCATACATACCTAGTTAACTATAAACGAGCTATGTGCTGGAAATATCAATTCGCTTATAATTGTATCATGATATTAAATAACCTACAGTCTTTTTCACGAAATAAACTATCAATGTAACAATTTTTTTTTAATCCAATTAGTTCCAGAAATTAGCGCGTTTGAATAATCAAACTTTTGCCTTGTTACTATTATTATTATTATTAAATTATTGATTATATTACAGATACACACAAATATTAATATCAATAAGATATTTTAATTACAGTTAATAATGATTAATGTCGTAAATACAATTGTCATAGTATTGGACGCTTCTTTTACATATAAGTATGAGTATGAGATGAAACTCATTGCCAATTTCCGCTGAATTTAATGTTTCCATAAATTCGCTGAGGCATATCGTTTGATTGCCGATAAAACAGCCGCAACGACTGAACCATATTAAAGCGTTGTTAATATCATTTGCACCTTTTTATGAGTGTAAAGTTTTTATCGAGAACTTGTGAAAACATATTAACAGAAATTAAATTCAGTTCATCTTATTGTTATCAATTAATATAGAGCTGTGGTTTAGATTCATACCCTAACTTAAAAAACTGCTATTGTATGTTTAATACTGAGTAATACTAAAAACATTCTGGTGGAAAATATTAAATTATATATAGTTTAGCGTCGATGAAAAACGGTGATTGACGATTTATTTATTTTGTTTATATAAAAATTATATATGTATAAAAAAGTAATTGAAAGATTTTAAAATGTCATCTTATTACATTTATGTAATATAATATAAAAGGAATACTCTGTTTTTCTAGTGACGATTTAGGAAATAATGTCTATTGTATTTAATAATTGTGTCTTCTGAATAATTTGGGAGCTGTGTTTGCCCCATATTAAGAATATTTCAAAAACATTTTTATTATTCAATTATCTAATAAATAATAATATACTATTATTAAAAGTAATTAATAATACTACTGTTTAGACTCATAATGGATCTTTTTAAATTAAATAATTATATTTTAATTTAATAATAAAAGTACTATATCTTATACAGTATAAATAATGGTACTGGACTAGCTTTTAAGACTAAAGATAGTTTTTCGACGATATCTTAAACTTATAAGAGTACAATTTATTTATTATAGGTACAAATGTAGTTTTTTTGTCTCAAGCTTACTTCTGACGAACTTAGAGTAGCATTTAATATCAATTAAGAGCAATTGATCAAAATATTGTTATTATTTTAAATGATAAACCTGTGTGAACTACTAGCAGAAAGGCTGTTTTTTTTTTTTAATTTCTTTACATATTGCTAAAGTTACACTATTACAGTGGTGCCTAAATTATTATTATTAGATTTATCCTTGTGAAAACACTAGATGATAATAAAATATAGCGTCTCTATACTCTTAGAAATATACAAAAAATCAATTTAAAAATTTTACAATCGGGTTTTTTGTTACTCTATCACGTAACACTTGTTAAGATAAAAATATTTGATCTTGGCGAATATCAGTGATAAAAAGCTTATCAAAAGATACAGTTGCTGGAATCCCGTATTCATTGTTTATTTAGTAGCGAGTTATATTTAACAAAATGTGCACCTGTGTAAAATATATTTTGTTATTAGGTAAGCTACTTTTTTGTCGTTTATCTACACTACTTTTAACCGATTCAAACAATATTGATTACATTTTGGATATTAATGTGTGATAATTAACACAAAACTCGAAATATAGCTTCTTATAATAATTATTACAGTTCTGTTCTTTTTTTACAGCATTTACAAATGTCATAGTATCATTGCCGACTACCGAATTGAACGACGACTCCTCATTGGGGAGAATAGTGAATGGATATGCAGTGAATATAACAGAAGTTCCATATCAGGCATCATTAAGACGTAAATTGGCTGGAAGCTGGTCTCACATCTGTGGAGCGGTCATCATCAGTAACAATGCTGTGTTAACAGCTGCTCACTGCACTGTTTTGTAAGGACATATGCCTATATTTTTTATATATTTGCTACTCAGAGTGGCAGTCAAGCTGAGGATCTATCTGATTAATTATAGTCGTGTTATGTTACAAATAAAAATATAATATATGCTTATGATTCATAATTATATTTCTGTTTAACCAAAGGTTGACTGGGAGAAAATGTTATATAGTATTAAATCAGTTATTTTTAATGTGGTAAATAAGTAATAAATTAAAATCTATAAGCGACGGTTACCACTTTCTATCAGGTTGGCCGTCAGCTTGTTTGTCATTATAAGTTACATAAAATAATTAAATAAAATCCATTGGATATGTTCCCTTTTAGCAAAATTTCTATAATTTTTGTATATATACTTTCAATAAAATACATGCGATAGTTTTTTAACCGTTTTCAGTAAAAAGAAGATTATTCAATATAACTGTTTGTGCATACGTATTATATGACACCTTCACTAATATGTTATATACTTACTTACTTAATATTTTTTTTACAATAACTTAATATTATGATATTTAACTATTATTAAGATTATTTATTTTTATGATTTAATTTAAAGTCAATAGGTTATATCTCCATATCCGCGCCATCATCATTATTATTTCAGCCATTATCCTTCTACTGCTGGACATAATCCTCACCCATGTTCGCATCATATTTGCTGTCAATTGAAATAGTATCTTAAAATATATTTAATAAAGATGCAGATAAGAGATAAGCGAACTTCAACACATCTTTATATGTACTTACGTATGTATAATGGTGCTATGTCTATGTGTGTATGTATAATGTTACTTGTTTAAAAGTTGTACTATATTATTATATTTTTGTATCTATCTATATTATTAATCTTATTTAATTTTGTTTTCAGTAATGAATTGAATCCGTCAGCGCTCGGAGTGGTTGTTGGTACGTCACATCGAATTTCTGGAGGGCAAACATACGATGTATCAAAAGTTATAGTACACGAAAACTATTCTTCTATCACTTTAGAGAATGATATTTCTATAGTAGTTTTGGCTAGAAGGATTCTCTTCAGTAAAAGTGTCAATTCCGTGCCAATTGCTCCATCAAATATTACATTGCCAGTTGACACGGAAGCTATTGTGTCTGGATTTGGAACCATTTCGGTAAGCTTACATTTCAGTCAAAATAAAAAAAATGACAATTTGTAATGATTGAATCCTATCTTTATTATATTCTTATAATTTTTGTTACAGTATGAAGGTACATCGTCCACAGTGCTTCTAGCCGCTAAAGTAAAAATTGTCAATCAACAATCTTGCGCAAGAGCGTATGCCCGTATAGCTTCAGTCACTACAGGAATGCTGTGCGCAAGCGCCCAGGACCCTCCCAGAGATGCGTGCCAAGGTGATTCAGGCGGACCACTAGTCGCTAATGGCTATTTGGTTGGAATCGTATCTTGGGGCGAAGGTTGCGCTGATGCTATGTATCCTGGAGTGTATACTCGAGTTTCCGAGTACAATAATTGGATACAAACCAAATTTATAAATTTAATGCGTGAAATTGATTTCAAAGTGATAGCAGAGTGACACGCAGCTGGTCATGTAATGAGGTTAATTGCAGGTCAATTCTAACAGATAATGGGCCTTATTGAGAACTAAAATGTGATAATTACTATTTGTTTATTAATACTTACGTTTGTTAACAAATAAATAAGTTATTAATAAATTTCCTCATTAATACAGCTACTTAAAGTATTTTTAAACCGAGTTTAATGTGAATTTATTACAATGATCGATATTTGAACTTGGATGAACAAAAACGGTCGGGTTGACCAACCTAATTTGAATACAAACAATTTCGAACATTGATGCCATTCGTGGATACCTGTACTAAATAAGTTCATTGACCGTCACCCGGTTGCTGATAAAGACATGATTTTAACGCTTGTGGCTGTCCAAACAAACACGTTTAATGACGTCGAGCCGTTGAGAGGTTTTAATATCATAAATGAATACTAATAAGTGTCTGTTATAATTTATCTAAAAAAATAATGTCTTTCATATTTGTCACTTGAATGTATAATTAATGAACCTACATATTATAACGACTCGTGTGCATATCAGCTCAATCACGAATGCATCGATGAATACGAGTGTGTTTTGAATGAAGCTGTTAAATAGATACAAATAGACAATTCATTGATCGATTACCAAAATAATTCACTGACCAGAATAACACCTATTTCTTCTCCTATCCATATAGTATATATATTATTCTTTATTGCATCACCATCATATCAGCTGTCCTGTCCAATGTTCACTGCTGAACATAAGCCTCCTCCTAAGAGGGCTTTGCCAGTAATTGCCACGCTTGAATTAGAAACCGCAGTCAGGCTCTGAAGATGTTCTAAGAGGGACGCTGCTGCCCTGCTCGTTTCTTGCGACACCTACGGGTAAGGAAAGTGTGGCCTTTTCTATGCCAGAACCACACGGGAAATTCTTTACTTACTGTTTTTTGTATTCTTACTGTGATTGCACTAGAAAAAAAAAAAGATACAGTAAGTACATGTATATCAAATTTTAAAATGATTGGTTAAGCTCGCTATTATATCGCTATAAGTTCGATTGGGCGGCTCAGTATATAATTTCATTTGAGTTTTTCTTCTCATTTACTTATGTATTTTACTTTCTTTTTTAGTCACGTATTACAACATCCTAATAATGAAAAAGAGCAGTAATACATTTTACACCGATTACATCCGTAATCATATAATAAAGTTGAATAGTTTAACCTATATATATATATATATATATATATATATATATATATATATATATATATATACTACTTAAACTATTTTTATTTGAAAATCATCTTACAAATAGTTACTACATACTTCATGTAAGAAGCTGTTGATTGCACAAATCTAGGTCAAGATATGATTGCACTGTAGATAAAATCATGCCTATATAAAGTGACACCTACAATTTAGCACTAATACTCATTCAGTGCTTATAGCTTGTTGATTAATGAACCGATAAATACATTAAATTCACCTACGAGCAACGAGAGCTCGTCAATTCATTTTACCTGCTCTTTGTGTCAAATCACGAATCATATTCTGAAAATCACTCGATATTTATTTAAGAATATGTATTCTATTAATATTATAAATGCTGAAGTTTGTAACTATGGATGCATTGATGAATGGATGTTTGTTACTATTTCACACAAAAACTATGAAATGGATTTGAATAAAATTTGACACACAGGTTGGGTTTATCCTAATATAGAACATAAAATACTTTTTTATACTGATTCCTAGTAAAGTCGCGGGATACAACAGGTATATAATACATGTACTAGTTCTAATATAAAAATTTTCATATAAATCCTTCTTGTCACATTTGACGTTAGAGTTACATGACTTCAGGATTTGTAATAGAATGTAGAAATAAATTTAAAAAAATCATTACGAATGGATACAATTTGACAGAAATGCAATAGTTTATTATTCACTCTGGAATAGCAAACAAGTTGACCAACTTCTTAATAGAATTTCTCAGGCCCATAAAATGCTAATGACATATAACTTATTATGCTTGTCACCACAATGTACAGCGCTATCAAATGATTTGAAGCCGAGCATATAATGTAAGATTAAGTATTAACATATTTATAAATTTGTATTGCTTGACAACGATATGATTAACGATCATTATTATAATTAATTCCTGTGAGTCAGTTATTCAATTTAACGAATAATATAATCATTATTGAATATTAACTTTACGTAAGTATTCAACATTTTTATGACGTTATAAAATAAAATGTCATACATGAAATATAACACACATTATGGCAATAAAAAATATTTTTATTTAATTAAAAGATTCATCAACACTAATATAAAGTATATAGGTATACATGAATCATCATACCTACCATACCTTCAGAGATGATTATAAGGGCAAGACAGCTAGACTTTCGAGGCCTTCGACATTATAAATAAACTTTCAAAAGTTTATAGCAACTATTACAATCTAAAAATGTTACATAAAATAATAGACATTTTTTCGTTCGTTTGTTCCCTCGTTTTTCGATGTATTTAATAATATCCGCTCTCAGTACATAGAAGCACATTTTCAGTAACAGTTGATAAACGATTGTTCGGTGTTAATTCGACGATAGTGTCAATATTTGTAGATGACAAAATGGTCGGCGTTTCAAAATATTCGTTTGTTGTCATTTTATTGGAAGCTATTTAATTAATTAGAATCTTCTTTTGGCATTAAACAATTATCATGTAGTTAAGCAGTAATTTTTGTAAAGTACTTTATAGATAACTAATTTTTAACCGCGAGCTCGTTTTAACCTGATATATTAATTGACCGGGTTAAAAAGTAGTCAATGTCCTTTACCATTATCTTCAGCACGAGTGGACAAAATTCCATAATGATTGGTTAAGCCTTTAAAGCGCTAAGTAATAATGAACAAATTGATAAACAAACTCATCTCCATATTTATATTTTTAGTACGTATTGCTTATTTACTAATAAAATACGATCTAAAAATAATGTTCGTGTAACTAACATTTACATAATTGCATGGTAGAGAAATCTTACTAATATAATAAAATTTTAACTAGATAATGGATGTACATGGAAGATACTTAAAAGAATTATATGAAAGTTTTTAATAGGACCTGTAGAAGTCAAAACTATCGTTTTTAAAAATTTTGACTGTTTGTACGTTTGTTCTGGCATCATGCAAAAACTACTACACCAAATTAGATGCGGTGTTCACAGTTGCATTCCTGAAGGCTAACTTAAAAACTAATGTAGTTTTGACCTTAAAATGCCATCTAGAAGTCTATTACATTTATTTTTCGCAGGAAAAAGTTAGTAATAATATAATTTTTACATTTTCATTTAAGTAGTTACAAAATTATCTTGAAATCCTCTGTCCCATTCGTGTTTCTACCGTGAAGAAGTTGTGTTTGCATGACTGTGTTTCGGTTTGAACGGTGGGATTTGGCAATGAATTTACAGGGCATAGAGGAATAACACTTAAGTCCTCAAGAATGGCAACGTATGGGTAAAACAGTATACTCTTTTATGTCCATCATACTGCTGATGTCTATAGTCGACAGTTACCACTTCCCATCAGGTAGACCATCAGCTTGATTGCCATTCTAAGTTGCATAAAAAAAAATTCATTTTCTAGTAATCAATCTTGTTCCAATGAAATGATTTCTTGACGTCATATAGATTTACAGTAGTCGTTAATGATCTTACAGGAAAAAGTAAAAAGTTCACGCGTGTGTGACATATTACAAGTGGTAATAACCGAAAGTACCAACTAATTACAAGCTCTTATTTAACCTCACACGTCACTGTGTGTAATTAAATCTGACAAGTTAAATTTGACCCGCTTCATGTTCAATTGAGTTGAAACTTACACACCTACATGACATGTGACACACATATTAACAAAAATTAAATATACAAATTTTACGAGCTGTAAAGGACTCGTAAAAATAATATACTGCACCTATTTTTGTTTGTAATATGAAATCACAAACATGTCACATTGTTGGCAGTAAAAAAAATCTGGTAAACTGGTCAAATTTATTTAACTAACTACCTGTTTCTAACGGATTTGCCTGCGTTAAGCAATATATAAAGTGTCCTGTGTTAAGTTATATGCTAATAATCTACTCGGGTGCCAAATTTCATTCAATTCCGTTAAGTCATTTATGTGTGGTTAAGCGACAAACATCCTAACAACAAAACATCTAAATGTTACAAACTTTCACATTTATGATATTAGTAGGATTTATACCCAGCTAATGTTTAAATCCCCGTTGATTTTCATATATGCCAAATCGATGGTGTTACAAAACAGTCTTACAGAGTGACAGAAACTTTATAATAAGATAATTTGTTTATTAATCTTATTTTACTTATCATCTACATCATATCAGACTTTAACTGTCCACTGCTGAAAATAAGCCTCCCCTCGAGGGTTTTGCCAGTAGTTGCCAAGCTTGGCAGGTGGATTGACAACCGCATTTTTTTTCATTGGATGAAAATGGATTGGTAACCCCGCCCGCGCTAACAAGATTCGCTGGCGGAGCACCAGTGAAGGATGAACGATGAGTATGAAAACAGGCCAGTTAGCCTATCATAATGAATTCATCATGAAGAATTAATAATGATAGTTTCCAGGTGGAACCGCGTGGAGGTCGACCTGGTTAGGTATGTTGCTTGCAATGGGATTTTTAGTCTCCATTACTAAAAATCCTTTTCCCCCCTGACTACCGCAGTTAGGCTTTAGAAATGTTCTAAGAGGGACGCTGGTACCCATCTTTGCTTGCACTCTCTTAGTCGCTTCTTACAACACACACGGGAAAGGAAGGGGTGGGGTATTCTATACCGAGACCACACGGTCAAATCGTGGTAAATATTTAAGAAAAAACAATAAAAGGGGTCTTAAGGACAACAGAAGCAAAAAATTTACAAATTTAGCCTGCCTGTCTGTATGTGTATTCCGGCATCACACATACAAAACTGCACCAAATTGGATACAGTTTTTACAGTTGTGGTCTTGATGATCTAACCAAAAATCCGGTAGATATTTTAATTGGTTAGAATTAAGAATTATTTTGTTTAGTTCTGCTACCATCAGTATGTGTGCGATCGCCACTTGAAGATTGATTAGTATCATTATTACCAGAATTTCTACAATCTTCCATATTAATCACCAATCTCTGACTGCTATTTCGTCCACGCACATTTTAGGAGACATGTTTTATCTCTAAACCAGGCATCTTCAAGCAAATTAACTGTTCCACGCCCAAACTGTAAAATAAAAATAATTTAAATTAATAATATTAAAAAAAAGACATGTAACTAGTCAAATAACTAAATACCAAAAAGAGACTTTGTACAAAAGTCTAGTCTCGATTGCTCGGGCACCTTCGTCCCATTTGTGTTTCTACCATGAAGCAGTTGTGTTTGCTTAGCTGTGTTTCGGTTTGAAGGGTGGGATATGGCGTGAATTTACAGGGTATAGAGGAATAACACCTAAGTCCTCAGGAATAGCAACGCATGGGGGATATCATGAGCGAAGCAGTATACTCTGTTATGTCCACGGTACTGCTCATGTCTATAGGCGACGGTTACCACTTTCCATCAGGTGGGTCGTCAGCTTTTTTGCCATTCTAAGTTATATAAAAAAACTACTGATATAAAATGCTGCACGATAATACATAATTTACTAAAATATTTATGTTTTAACTTGATATGCCATCAAGAAGTGATTAATTTCATAGATTTTCATACTTCTGAAATCCACACGTCCACACTTAGTAGCAGAAAAAAAGCTAGTTTATAATAAATCTATTGATAACTTAAAATATATATTAATATTCAAAATTTATACCTTGATAGAAGAGAATTTATAGATTTTTCTTTTATATTGTGTTAGTAAGAATTTCACGGTTCTGCTGAGCCTGTATGCATGCAGATTGTTTTTATACTGTATTTCCTTTGAGTACTGACCACAGGTAAGATTCAGTTTCTTGAGTCTTGAAATATTAAAGTAAAAATTATCATGAAATAGTTTACAATCTTCATTCCAAAATATTTCAAAGAATAAATGAGTTGGGTTGGAAAAAAAGAAATAAGTAGTTAAATTAGCAATGCAATCCTCCAACGACGTCGTATAGATACGGATCAATCCCTTAGCGACTTTTACCCTCCTGTGATTACCTTAATGCCCCACTAATACGATAATAACCTCATCAAATTTTATTTGAACTAAAAAAGCATAATTAATTTAGGAAAATGTACTCAATGTACAGAGTGGTAAATATCCCGGGGCAACTTAACCGACGACTACAACCCTATTTATGTTTAGTGATTACTTTCAAATAAATCGTGCTGGTGACTGCGTATTTGTAATTATATAATATCTTTAAATTAATTTGAAGAATGGACTTTACGTTGTTATGTAGATATCACGATTCGTTTTTCCGAATTTTCCCAGCGGAGCTTTTGGTGATATTCGGGAGACAGTAATTTTGAACATTTAACTTTGAATGGATATTAAATAAAATTGAACACAAAATATTACTTTATAAATTAAGGTTGTGTCCCATAAAAAAAAAAAACAACAATTGAATTGTGACAATACTAGTTATTTTGATCTAAAAATTAAACAACTGAACTAATTTTGATAAAATTTCTTTAGGATAAATCTATAAGTACATCAGAATTTTCCAACCAAGTTTAAAACTGACGGAATTATGAGGTAACAAACATAAAAAAATACAACCAAACTGAGAACTTCTTTTTTTTAAGTCGGTTGAAAAACAAAAAGTTTATTTTTTACTACTTTACGAACTTATACATTGTTATTTCCTAATAAATTAAAGTAATACTTGTACAGGGATTGTTTATTTATTTAATAAAAATTATTATAAAAATACCTGAGTTTCTTAATAAAATATAATTAATTTTAAATTTCTAAATCACTCTGATTTACAACTGATTAACAAGTAAACAATCGAGTTTGACACTAATATTACTGTGGTATATGATTTACAAAAACACATTCTGATGGGATCTTCCACTATGATACATAAAATCCTATAATACGCAAATAAAGCCGTAGTATACACACAGAGCATTAAGTCGTGAAGATCGCCCCCTTTATATTCGTACTTATCTAAATAATGATGGACAAATTTTATCGCTTGTCAGTTAGCTTTGTTCAACTGATTGATTACCTTATTTGAATTTAAAATAAATTTGATTATAATGAGATAAGCATTGATGATTTAAGACCAACATGTAAATACTTATAGCCTAAAATTTATGCAGTTTAGTATATAGTTTGGCCATAGCTGGGGGGGGGGCTAAAATTGACAGGTTCGCTTTTTTAAAGGCACTTAATTATGGCTTCTGCCCTACCTAACAATACTTTTGCCCTACCTTTAACATGGATGTAGCTACGGCCCTGTTTGGATGTAATAATACATTCTTGTTTAATTAATATATTTTACATCTATTCTTTCATAGAATGAGTACCAATAATGGCAATATTTTCCTCATCTGGCAGTCCATCTCTTGAATTTTATCTAATTAATTCAAAAACTATCTTGTCAAGTAGATACAACAGTTATTATAAAAACATTAATAAAGATCTACACAATTAAATGAAAAAATAAAAATAATTTCCCCTACCTAACTCATGACGGAAAATATATCAAAATAATTATATATATTATAATGGTAATAAGTAAGCATATAACATGCGATCATCGTTATTTAAATTATTATATTATATCAGCCCTTAACTATCTATTGCTGAACACAGGCTTCCCCTACGTTGCCACGTTTGGCAGGCGAGTTGTCAACCGTAGTTAGGCTTTTGTAAAGTTTAAAAAGGGATGCTGCTGCCCTTTCCTCGACCAATAAGTTCCCTTAGTCGCCTCTTACGACACTCATGGCAAAACAAGGTGTAGCGTATCCTATGCCGGGACCACACAACGAAAGCATCGTAAAATTTCAGCGCATTGTTCTCATGTTTATCATTTCAATTGATCTAAGATGTATGATGTATGTGAAATGTCCTGGTATATGTTAGTAATTTCTAAATTATGACAGTGATTCCTCTATTGCAAACTGTAAGAACACCAGGTCTCTCCAGAACAAAGAATTTATGATCGGAACACGCATGTCGAATCTGCTACTATGTTGCAAATGTACATCGAAGCTGCGGTCATAAAGTAATTAAATGATATAACTTTACAAAGTCTCCACGGAAGCCAAGATAACCGTATGTTTTGGATTTTTTTTTTCTATTTTCTTACTCAAAACATATGGGTATCATACGAATGTACTGAAATATTTGTCTGGCTATTTCTGTTGTTACGTCTACTAGATACACACACATTTAAAATACGACTCTACAATGCTTTACCTATGTGGCAACACAAACTCAGAATGAATAGACCGATTAAAAAATAATTTCATTTTGTTTAAAAGCTAGTTTTATCAAGATAATCATTGACTACTTATATTCTTCTTACTTGATTATTTGAACTACACCTTTGTGTGTTATTGGCTCAAAATATTTTAAAAAGTTTTATTGTATTATTGCAAATTTTTAATTAACTCATAGTATAATTGATTACCAAACTTACTTTTCGATTTTTATTATTCAAACATCTAAATAATCTAGTCAGAATTTCTTTATTGAAGACCTTAATAGTCGTATACTTGATTATAGTTATAAATAACAAAACTATATCAAAATTTGGTATTAAAACTACTCTATATCAATTTATTTAATGATGTAAATAAAGTGCTCTTCTATTAAATATTTGAAGCCCTTCAAAGTACAAATTGAGTAAAATATAGGTTAGTTGCATATTAAGACTACGTTAAAATTTACAATGGGATTAATGTTTCCAACTCGATTTTATTTCTGTTATCCCGATATTGTAACATTGATTTATGGCACGGGATAGATTTTTCGCATTTTTCGCACTTCTTACTTTCCGATTACATTTTATTTTCATATATGTAATTATGTTTTATTTACAGACCCGTACTATTTCATTACTTGATATGGACAATGACGCTAAATATTTATTTTATTTTCATTACGAGTATTATTGTTTTAATTAAAAATAGTACTATTTATTAAATTTATTCATATCATTCTATAATCAAACTGAGTACGATATAATAAATGTTCATTCGAAATTGTTTACGCTTTGTTTGTTAGAATGAGCAATCAATATAATCCAATCACGAATCAATTTGTACTTAAACACATCGAAAAAGTATTGTAATCTTCATTAAATACGGTGAAAGCTTCCGACACTCGGTCGTAATCCGTTTCCTCGTTCTAGGTTACCACATTGTTCTTCTGGTGTACATTTGTCAAAGAATTATCATCTATGCTTCAATAAAAACAAAGCTCACTTTGTTACAACGGTTGACCCTGTTAAGGACCTTGTCAATGTAAGCGCAGAAATTATTTACGACACCCCCTCATTTAGGTGTTTCCCATCTTGTTCCACAACATGAATTTCCACGTTAAGCTATCTCTCTCTATCGTCTCGTAATAAATTTTGGGGCGACTGCAAATTAACAATACCGTAGTCATAATTCGCCAGCCTGTTGCGGCGCGTTTATCGGGATGCTTGACGAGATGATACTCATATTCCGCATTGCTCATTTATGATCATTATTTCAAACATTAAATCTTCATCGTGATTAAAACAATATATTACTTTTTTTATATTCTTACAACAGATTTTATTAACATTGATATTATCGTATCTATTCGTAACATTTGTATTGAAGTTTATATTACCATTCAAATGAGTTTAAAAAAATATCTAAACACCTATATAATAATTTTAATAAATATGTGATAGTCAATTTTATTACTACTAAGTTGTTAATCACTAAAGCTTAAAACAACTTTTCTGATAATAGCGATATCGATAAACAAACAGCGTCACAACACTATTCCCGCGATGAAGCATTCGCCACTCAATTCAGGGGTGGCACTGCTCAGACAGCAATAACGTATACCGAATAGGTGTCGACTCTCAGCTAGCGTCTTACTCGGATCAATTCTAATCTCTGTCGTCACGCCCGCCCCGCGGCGTGACACTTCGGCCAAACACGTCAAATGTGCGGGCTGGCGGTAGTTGACGTCACCTAATCATAAGCGAGCTTTTTCTTTGTCCTCAAATTAGGACCAATATGGTTTGTTCACTCAATTAATTTCTTATTGTTTCTTATTGATGCCACATCGTTGTATCGTGAAATGTTATGGCTATTTACTAAACGTTTACAGAAATAAATGGATAGAGACAGATTGGAGTATGGGTATCTCCCTGTCATCACTAAATATTTATTAAAGTATTTTATCTATTTGTATTACTAGTTATGTTTATCCTTTAAGTAGGTAATAACCTACATAAATTTATTAATCAGGGTATTATTATACTCTAATTAATAAATGATATTTCAAAATGTATATTAGCATTGTTTATAAAAATAGAAACTCGATTTTTTATTGAATCTTTTGGTACAGCAGTTTTAATCTGAACCTGAATCTGAAAATATGAATTTTTTTTGTATATAATCAACACTTTATAATAGTTAATCAAAATTTGGTACTTCAGTGGAAAAGTCAATGATACCAATATGTTACCAATATTCAATTCGATTAGGCTGTTGAGCGCGTAAACCCACCAATAAGTAAGTGTAATGCTATAGTCCCTCGGCCTATTACCTGGCAATTTCACAGAACAATCTACGTCGAATCGCGTCGACAGCACACAATGATGTGACACACACGCGCTTTGCAACTGAGAGGGACGGCACTCGCTCCCGCGATTTGTTTACACAGTGTAGCTTTCCCTTTCATCGCATGCGTGTGTGCGTGACCATCTGGCGGGCGGGCGCGGTGGCAGCCCTGAGTTTGTAGTAGTGTCGCCCCCACACCTAAGCGCACCCCGTTTCGGGGTAGTCGGATCCATTGGTGTGTGCGTGACCCAGTCGAATAAATCTAGTGTAATACACACAAACATATTGGTGGCACGGCGTGTCATTTTTACGCTTGTGTTGTCGCTACTTGGGGTTCTTTATGCGGCGCGATGATATTATTATTCTGACGATTACGACATCCTTTATGCTCACAATAAAATAATTAATAAGGGATGAAGTGTATTGTTGCTCGCCAGTTTGTGATCGGTATCAACTACTTTACCTTCATTCAACTTAATGAGGTAGCGATGTGATTTAATAATACAATTACTCTAATAACTGTTCCCTTGTTTAAAATTTAGCTAAATATTTTACTTGTTGATAGCGCAATAAATATTTTAAAATAAAATATGTATAAGAAATAGAAAGGTAAAATTAATAACAAACAAATTATTAATTCATAAATACCTTCCTTCTTACATTAAAAAAATCTGAACCGAGTTAGTAAAAAAAAGTAAGCAAAGTATTTGTAATCAGCCTTATTTCACAGTTAAATTATTATAATTAGCGATAGATTATAAATAAATAAAAGTATTTATATATTATACTTACAATTAAATAATTGGTGTCATTAACAACTGACTGATTCTTAGGTATTGTATAAATACAAAGCTTAAGAGTCAGTACTAAAAATGATATAAAAAAAAAGTTAATAATGAAATTCAACAGGCTTACTTCTGTTTACTGTAGTCTAATATAGAATGCTTGATACATATCTCAACCTATATATCTACATATCATAACCCTGTTAAAAATAAAAAATCTAAAGTATAGCTTACTTTTACTGCGCTACAGTTGGCTTCGATATTATAATTAATACCATAGACAAAAAAGATCCTTAATATCTTCATTAATACGAAACAAATTATAAAGTACAAGAATTGTGACAAGTTTGTTTTATCAGCGACGTTTTGGGTATAAAAGGCGCGAAGAATCCCAATTACTTACTCTGTGACGGAGCAGTTGACAGCGCGTTCAACCCCCGGTTTAACAATTACGCGGCATGGCTCATTGTGGCGCGACCCTACCTCTCCATCCATTGTGGACCACTGTCCCATAACCGTTTAATGTAGATCCCCCTAAATCCTATACCAACCTCTCATAAGTCTAATCTACTAGTGAAATAGACGCGCATGGGAGATCATTTGAGTTTGGACAACACTATACAAATATTATTAACCAGCCTGTTCACAAATATCAATAACGTATTACCAGCTTCGGGCCAGATTTAAAAAGTTAACGATCGAGATTTTTGAATGCCATGGTTTATTTAGTGCTGATTTGAATAGAGGTTATGACGGTGTTAACAAACTATTTAGAGGTAATACATTATCTTAAATAACTTTATTATAAATAATGCTTTGCCTAATATTATATGTCTATGTGTACTTTCCTATATTTTAGACCTTGTGTATACATGTAGAACATTTTTAATTATATGAGTAAGAAAATATGTTAACACAACTCTTTTCTCATATTGTGTTTTTATATTTAAATTGCTTATGTAATTAATTTTTTTTCTAAATTTTTAATGTTCTAAATATTACTATCACTTTTATCTTTCTCTCTTTATCTAAATTTAACCAGAACCATAAAATAAAACAGATATAGTACAATCTTAATTGAAATATTAAGAACAAATTAATTCAATTTCACGTCATAGATTTCGATAGTGTGCTCTTGTCCGTTCATTAGATACCAAATATAATAATTTAATTACAATTAATAATATATTATTATATAGTAAATAATTATTTGTCAACTGTTATTCAATTTATGTAATAAAAACTCTGAATTGAAATTTTTAGCTGCTTCCATCACAATACTAGTTCATATAAATAGATAACAAGTTTTTTTTTTTATACAACTTAGAATGGCAAACAAGCTGACGGTCTACCTGATGGAAAGTGGTAACCATCGCCTATAGACATGAGCAGTACCGTGGACATAACAGAGTATACTGTTTCGCCCATGATATCCCCGATGCGTTGCCATTCCTGAGGACTCAGGTGTTATTCCTCTGTACCCAGTAAATTCACGCCAAATTTAAGTCAAATATTACTCGAGAATATTTAATACCTTATAAAACAATATAATATATTTTGTATGATATAAGTTTGATGTTTGTGCCCAGCCTTTCAAACATAATTAAATAACAAACATCCAAACTTCCACATTTATAACATTAGTAGAATATATTAATTTACATAAAATTTTATAAAATGTAAGTGTTACTCGGTTCTCATTAGATTGTATATTTATGTAGGCAGAAGGCTTACGGAGTGGGTGCTTACTCAACTTTTTAAGAATTTGCCCCACATAAAAGATAATTAGCGTGACTAACAGCCCACTACAATATTATATTACGTGTTATTATCAACTATTAATAATTTAAGAAATAATTTTACCTGAATAAATGTCAAGCTCAATACGTGACAATAATTCTACTTAAATTATTATTATGTATTGATAAACAATTTACTTTAATTCTTCAGGTTGACAATCATCATCATCAGGACGAAATAAATTATTTTATAAATTACTTAGGTTGTCTTTATAATTCCACTATTTCAATATATTAATTAAGCATGATATTTTGTGCCACACCAGCTGGGAAAGTATTGTACTATGCTGTATGAACATTAATGCGCTATAGCAATTAAATTGCTGCAGCACATGCTGAGTGGTGATCACGTTGTAATAACAAATGTAGTTTTTTTTTTTTAAATTGATAATTTATGTAACTTTTTTGTTGTTGGCAATAAATGTTTTCCTTCTTTCTTTCTTAATTTTTACCCTGGTTTTTTGTAATGAATCTAACTTACGAGTATATTATATATATTACATATCGTATGATCCATGATTCACAGCGTACCTTCAAGTATATTACATCACATTAAGAACCGTCACACAATCTAAATGTCTTCTTTCTCTTCCTTGCAGTAGTATACTTGTAACAAGTACAAATAATTTAATTAATTCCATATTTCCACATAACATAATTATTATACAACCAATATTGTGTATATCTATTACTGGTGTGCATATATTACCATGTCTATATAATAAATAAATAAACGTACACATATGTATACTCATTGTCAGATCAGGTGAGATTATGGACAGAGTATAGAGTTTTTGCCTATAGCAAATATTCTTTTTTAGTAACACCGCTAATAATAAATCATAATACATATTTCTATCTTATACAAAATAATCTTACGTTTAAATATCGATTTAACTCAGAAACAAAGTTCATGTGAAGGTTAAAAGGAGTTAATTTCACAGATTCTGTTTAGACTGCGGCTGAATATACGTATTTATATTTTACGACTATGTGTTATGAACTGGCGGTCAACTTTAATACATGTCTAATGTTTACCAGATTTTGTCGAACATCATTTTATGATAGATGAATTGGATGATCATTCATACAAAAACATCCAATATTCACATTACCGTACACTTAATATTATCACGATTTTAATTTTAACAATTCCAATAAATGCTTTAATTTATTTATTATAGGAAAGACCGTGAGTTGAGTCGAATACTTTGTTTAAATACTTGTGTATTGTATTTAACTTTTTGTTATTTAAGAGCATTCATATCGAATTGTAATAATGTCTATAGAATCTGTTAATTTTAAATTTATTATATATTGATATTATCATCATCACATTTGTCGTATTAGTCGTTTACTGTCCACTGCTGAACGTAAGCTCCTCCATAAAAGAAGATTTGCTAGTAGTTGCCACTGTTGGCAGGCTGGTTGGCAATCGCAGATAGGCTTATGATGATATATTAAGAGGGACGCTGCTGCCCATCTCTCATTCATTAAGTTCCCTTAGTCACCTCTTAAGACACCCACACAAAAGGAAAGTGGCACACGGAACACGTCAATTTATTGATATAATAATAATAATAAATTCTTTATCCGGATCACAATTCATTTCGTGTTAATACAAGACTTAGAAAACTATGTTAGTAAAAGACAATGTTTAGTTCACATATCGCTGTCCACCTCCAGCTACACTGGACTCGTAACAATGGATAGCGTTCCAGTACCTCTGAAGTGGACAGTCTCGCTTCTCTGCAATTACCTTTAAGCTTTTGTTGGCACTCCCGCGGATCCTACGTTACGGTATAAAAGTGGCATACTTTGTTTTTGAAGTTTCCTAATACTATATTAACATCAAAATTCAAAATATCGGCGACTAATAGACTAGAGGCAGTAAATTAATTATTTTGCATATTGCCATAGTAAATATGTACATTTGTAAGCGTTTGAATTTTGACATATAGCTTGCAGTATAAATTTTAGAAAATTTTATTCGCAGCTGCCACAAGAAACTAGTTATCCCCATTGCCTCAAAGGTTTTAGAAAATTTATATTCTGTACTCATTTATGTTATAACTGAACCCTATGTAACGTTTCATATTTACAGAACCAGTAGTTTCGGCTAACTTTACAGTGATGAGTTACTCAGATTCTCCATTCATATATTTTATAGAATTAAAAAAGATTATACTCGTAGTTTTTACATCGATCAAAAAGGAGTGTTTCCCATCCCTATCCAAAATCAATATAAAATGTCAATCAATGTAACAGGTATCATTATGAACAATTTCTTCCAGACGATTTCAGGATTTTATATATATATATATATATATATATATATATATATATATATATATATTTACCAGAGGGAGACTTTGTACAAAACTTGATTGCTTGGGTACCTCTGTCCCATTCGTGTTTCAACCGTGAAGCAGCGGTGTTTGCATGGCTATGTTTCGGTTTGAAGGGTGGGATATGCTGTGAATTTACTGGG